CCGGCCAGTCAGAAGAGGAAATACACTGATTTTAACTTGTTTTATGGAATATTGTTCGAATTATGATCACTGGCAGACCAAGGAATACAAGTCTTATGTCTGAATTGTGAAAAGATCGATAGCTAACAGCACAACCGTTTAGTCAACATCCTCGTCCAAGCCGGGCCATTGACACATTTTCTCCTAGAGCGGCTTTGTCTCCTTCATACGGGAATGACCGCTGTGTAGATCTTCCAACATCGGCTTACGTAATAGAGGTGGAATTATCAGACGGCTTTTGCATCGTGGTAATCCATCTGAATAAGTACAAAATTTCTGTTAGTGAGAACAGAATCCGGACTCCAACCCTTCGACATGCTCATCGCTATTTCAAATGATTGCTGTTTCGTATATCCTCCCACTAAACACATAAGCAACTGGAGCAGGTAATCACAACCTTCAGTAATCGAGAACTAGGGCAATCTGGACCAGAAACCAGCCTACTATATCACATTATCCGGTCTAGGGACTGTATCATCGCAAGCAGCTAAAACAGTGATACACCTTCGGATTTTGATGCTTTGGTTTACGGGCTGATATGCTGAGACTGTAAGGGTGATGGTCGATCACAAACGGTGTAGTCGAGTATGCCCGAATGGTAGAGTTCGTGTATGCAGTGGCATGTATTGATTCAGGGATTGTATCGCGGTTGGGCTCAAGTTTAATGGACTGCTTTTGGCAACCAGTAAGCAAATGGGAATCAATCGACCTGTATTTGGCTATATCACTAATCACATTTTGCTAAGCAATCGCAGTTTGTGCTTGGTAACGCTGAGAATTTCCCCGGAATTAGGAAAGATTGCAGTCTTGGGTCACACAAAATTTAGTAGGTATGCACTATCGATGGATTTGCCAAATCCAATATCAACAATGAGTTTATCTCGGCATTCATTCACGGTTATCAAACTATACGAAGAACTGCCGTGTTCTGTCTGAGTCGGCGGTCGGGCAGGATAACAGTCGGATGGTTTGCACATATTTCGTCTATTTTCCACCTTGACATACGCATGACACTCGGCCCTTCGGAATCACCATATAAATATACAGGAGTCACACGAGAGGTAACGTTTTATGAATTTGGAACGGCCAGAATAGACAGGTTGTGGCTTTGCTCACGTTTGAGCACAGATAAATGACCTCATTCGTGACTGCATCAGTGGACTACGGGTACTGAGTTCTTTGCAATCATATGCATCAAATTATCTCGTTGCTGGCAGATCTTGACTGGTTATACGAAAGTGAAGTGGTTCTTAAGGAGGTTTTCCCAGACTTTCGAGTTTTTGGTGCCTGTTGCGAGACACCCGCAGAGCTGTTCCTGCGCAAGACCACAGTAACTGCGCCGAGCTGCCAGCTTGTTCACTTGGAGAGCGTAATCGAGGTACGCGATATCCTCGGTACGGATCAAAAGTTGGATATCATTCGCTCAACTGCCCAAGAGTCTGTCAGTATCATACGTTCAAGTAGCAGTCGCATCCGGTACTCACACGAAAGATTGACGGGTGCTCCTGGGGGAGCACGGTCTTTCAACAAGGAAAACACATAGCAATGAGAACTGATGCCCATTGACTTTGTGTCCCGTTTTTTATACGCTGTACTACAACGCAAGCTGGTGAATCAGATGTTAGAGATTGAACCGACTGATGTACAGGTTCAATGATTCAGAGGTGAGTATCACGTCACTCAATTGTACTACTACATGTATTGACGGCTCTGTAATCCTGGTCACCCTTGTCGTAAGTTATCGAAATTTCTGGAGGCATCGGAAGGTTATGAAATTAGTGTATAGTTCACTGGTAGAAACCAATCGGATCAAATAAAAAGTGCAAAGAAAGATCACTAGCACCCAACATTTTGTCAGCCGTTTTCAGGTTCTTCTGTATACTATCCTCCTGAATATTTCTCACCAAATTCGGTTAGTTCAAATGCTGCTTCCATTTTGGTCATGAAATTGTATCGCGTAGCTCCCTGACGTGTTATCTCGGAGCCTGGGGTCACTACAGTCTTTGATATGGTTTCTCATGTCACCACTGAATGCGATGAGCCAGAGTTATTTTGGTGACGTATTTTTTTATGATTACTTTCTCACATCAAGTTAAAAGAAATAAAATAAAATGCATCAGGAATCAGTCAATATCTAGCATGAATCACAGAAGCACACATACCTTAAACCTTGATAAAAGAATTGCATAAGTGATAGACGGATGAAGAACTTGCTAGTTCAGATTGTTGATAATAGATAAGAACGTACCACATCAATTATGAATTACGGTCTTTTACATAGGTCGATGGTCGAGAAGGAAGAAATTTTCATAGGGGTTGGTTAATCCGAGTGGATACGTTTAGAACAAGCTGTTCATGTAAAGTGTTTGGTATGAGGCAATGGTCTTTGTGAAAAGTGACCACTTTCATCAAAACGTTTATTTACCATAAATTCAGAAAGTTACTCACTCAGTGAACCATTGACCCGGTAGATAAATTTGGGTGAGCTGAACATCCAGCAAAGGTCCTCAACTTTTGTCAGAAAAATGGAGACCTATGGAACCAATGGAGTAAAACACATGCAATAATAATGTTAGTTTTCATGTAGCATAGGACCCCGAAGTTTATACACCTTAAGATATAAACAAATCCGAATATAAGATCAATACACGCTGTAAGAGAAAAAAGTAACGAACAAGATCGTTTGCGGTGATTCATCCGTATAATAATACATCGCAATTTGTGTTCTGAGTAGCATGTTTTATTAGAGGGAGAAATCATCACCAAAGGGGGAAGAAAATTAATCCACGTTCCAGCTCCATGACCCAATGTTGTTCGTGCTTTGGTCATCATACATACGCATTTGTTTGAGCGGGTGCCGGGCTGACTGTGTCATATGGGGTGTTATCCATGGAAGACCGAGTATTCTTGTGAACTGTTTTCGTAAACTTAAGAATGAATTGTTGTAAACCAAGGAATTTTCGATTATTGAAAAAATCGACACATTGAGGGTTGTGTCAATGGCCTAAAAATAAAATAAAACATTTAAGAATGTTTAATTTGAGAGGTTGAGATGTATACCGGTTGGAAACAGCGGTCAAACTATTTAGAAGATAAATAAAAACAGGAAACATGTATTTGAAAATAAAATAATGGCACGATAAAGAACATCAGTAGTAATTGACAATTAAGAACCGGAACTAAAAAACCACGAAGTAATTTGTGTTCAGTCTGAGGAGTAATTGCTCAGAATATTTGTCACATAACATGAGCATTCGTTCTACTTAAAGGTCAGAAAATGAGATAGCCTGTGACAATTAACAAAGAGAACAGAATAGGATATGTAAGTCGAATGTTCAGCTCACGTTGCTAAGTTATGACGGAATTTCTTATACATCAAATGGATTTTTCTTGTGGATTCTAACCGATGTTTTCAGTTTATAATTTACTGAATTTCAGATCCATTTCTGAACCATAATCGAAGCACATACATTTGAGTACTTTAGATAAAGTTTGACACCGGATGATAATTTAGGTTGTAAGACATTGTCCAAAGTGAAGTACTTTGTATTTAAAAGTGAATTATAACAGAAGAGAGAAAACAGATTTTGAAACTGCATATAGACTACGTAGAAGATGAGCAGTCGTCGTTGATTCAGCTTAATTCTGTTGTCACTGCATGGCTCGGCGGATGCATTCTGTTGCATCACCAAGTCGTGGATTATGAAAAAGCCACAAAATTGCTGGTCACCCATAAACACGGTGCACTTGGGCTTACGGAATAAGTGACCGTGTAAGAACAACGTTAGTGTTGGAGGATTTTGCGGTTTTTCTCTCAACAAAACACCATTTAATCAAAGCATATAGTCCCCCATCTAACACGTCATCGCCCCTTATTCTGTTCCACTTACTCTACAAAGCTAAGTAGATTACGTGAATGCGTTAATGTTCCAGCACCTAGCTAGTCTGGTATAAGCCTGTTGCCGTGATTGTTAGAGAGACAACCTCAGAAAAAGTATTAACGGTACTGGGAACACTCAGAGAACCCACCCACAGAACCTCTTTGGGTCCATGAGTCCCAAATATCTTCTAGTGCGAGATCGTGACATAAATGTAAAATATAAGCTACGCAGTACGACTCTGACCAAAGAGAATCTTGCATTGTTATCCATTTCAAGTTTACAAGAAGTGTCCTGTGGATAAAAAATGGTTCAGCTATGGCTTTAACTTGCTCTTTTTCTACCCCTGAGTGTAACAATCTGGAAGAACGGGTATAACGAATTCTCCTAGCAACAAGCTATCTCAATGTTTTTGTTGAAAGTTATTGTCTTTCTATCCCTGTGTTCTCCCCAAAAGGAAGAAAAAAACCTCAGAGGCAGATTAAGGGGATGATTCCCATTTCTTTTGTTTGTCCATTTCACACCAGAGATGTCACAGAATTTTTGCAAATTTCTAATCCATTCTTTCAAATCACTATTGAGCTTTGTTTATCAAACACACGTATGGTTGAATAGCACGTGGATGTCTATTCAACCCAAGAACACTTCAAAGTCGCGAGTCCGAACTCGTCTTTGTTGCACAATAATTTAGAAGGCGTGGAGACACGCCAACAGCATCGGTCGTATCCAAAGCGTCCATGAGATTTGCAAGTGCATCGTGATTTACTTGTCCGAATGAGAGAAAAAAGTCGGATGATGTACCCACCTGTTCACATAAACACCTAGATGAACGGACGAATTTGTCGCATGCAGACAGATATCCGGATTAAGAGTTCGTGCAGCGTGCGTGCAATTCAATGTAATTCACTTGTATTTGTGTGTCTGTGTGCAGTTGCGTTAGTATGCATACTTGTTCAACTCACAGTATCCGCATACATCAATATAAAAGAGTATGTATATAGATATATATATCAGTATAAAATTGTGTCTAAATGTAAATACAGCTATTTGAACGCATACACACGATAGGTTACGAAAAATATAATGTTATCCAAACTTGCTAGAATTCCAAGCCTTGGAGTGACACGTGTACGGTTTCTGAGCTCTCAAGCTCTGGACAAAAGTGGCAAATCCTTTCGTCCGGTGGTTGGCATTAAAAGAGAAACAGTGAATTTGTGGGAACAGAGATCACCTCTGATTCCATCTCATGTGAAGAAACTGGTACATCAAGGCATTCCGGTCCTGGTACAACCGTCCAACCGCCGATGTTTCGCCGCTACCGAATTCGAGGAGGCTGGAGCAGTGATGAGTGAAGACCTGAGCGCTGCCACTCTGATCCTGGGTGTTAAACGACCCAGTCAATTGCGCCCGGATGATCTACTGCCTGAAAAGACCTACTGTTTTTTTACACATACGATTAAAGCGCAATCAGACAATATGCCTTTGCTTGATGAGTTGCTATCTCGGGTAAGTCTGACTGTTTTAGTGTTTCTTGACTGTCTCATCTGCTTTGGTGCTTAGATCACTTGGAACGAACTCGTGCGTTTATAAGTCATAAGAGTGGGCCATTAAGTATCTACGAGTGTTGATTCTAACCGAACGTCTGGTCGGGTATTTGGTTTCAAGGCATAGGTAACTCTTTTGTTTGATCAGGAGCAAACAACTTTATCATGACCCTTGGCTAGGTTTTACTATAAGTCTACAATATCGATTCTCCGTATGTAGGTTAGTTAAAATACTTTGCTTGAGGATATAAAATGGCTTAGAGTGGCTCGGAGGGCTTCAGGAACTGTAAACGTTCTGTATTTCATGGGTTGTACGAATCGGTCTACTTGAGTTTAGGCATCTGGCGAAGTGTTGTCAATGCGAATTGTATTCCCATTTAATTCAAATAATTTCTAAACATGCTGCATCTATGAAAAACAGTGGAAAATGTAACGCTTCTTAATTCGAGCGACATTTTGGGATGATTCATTTGCTTTCCACCAATTAATTTTCAACAAAGTTGTAAGACAAATGAAAGGTCGCATCCTATTTGTTTGAGTACCAACGCTGGTAGTATAACAGGCTTCGCCTGATGAGCCATGTATACCTAACATCAAGTGATCCCGATCCAGTTGTGCCTACTCCGGAACCAAACATTCAACTGATTTGTTAACCACGGAGCAACTCAGGAATAAGCTTTGCACCGTTTTACATGTTGATTTGTTACCCATCCAGCAATTTGATTTTTGAATTTTTTGTACATTTCTGACCGGATAACATCGACGTTCAGTTTCATTCTCATCATCATCCCCTTAGGAGTCGCGCACAGAACGAGTTTGGTCAATCGGGTGTTTATACATATAGATAGATAGATAGATAGATAGATAGATAGATAGATAGACAGATAAATGGATAGAGAGAGAGCCCAGATCAAGACAGGTGCATATTCCTGAGAAATTCACAACCGGAGCCTTTGGCTAGCCAAAGCCTGACCCGTAAGGCAGCGGAGCGGTGTGTGAAAACAGCAGTTCATTGGGAGCCGGTGTCCATTTCATCGGTTTATACGTCCTTCGGATGGGGTCCTAGGTGCCAAATACACCTTGATGCCCAATCGAGCCAGTGATCACTGCCACAATCGGGAAGGTGTGTTTGTATCACTATCAAACACCCCGTTTAATAAAGAATGGATATAAAAATCTAACCAGCGTAAAATGTACCACAATTGTCTAAGCAGTATCCTTTCTCTGAGGATCAATAGCAAATTGAAGAGGTAGTAATTGTTATCCTAAACCCTACTCGTCTACCGATGTAATAGATTATTTTATTCGTTTTATCGAATAGTATATTATATATATTTACCACCGGCTGGTAGACAAGCATGGTGCCACTGCAACAACTATAATTACAATAACAATGAAAGGGGACTGATGGATTAGGGTAGAGACCAGGGTGAAACGATTGAACACGGGAAAATAGAAGATATCCGGAATAACAAAAACGTTTTGTGTTTCACCGTAAACCTTTTGATATTTTTTATTAAATATATGCACTCCCTATAGAATTTCAAGAATCAGGGTGCAACTGATTACAGGGGCTTGCGGGGAAACAGTAGATTTGGCCCTGTTGGAATGTCAGTAGTGATCATCAACCACGAAACATTCAGATCGAACTGATGGTGGGCAAAGTTGCTAGGCTACTGCGCCACATTTTGATCAGAGTAGTACTTCCATTTGTGAACTAAATTTTGCAGACCAATTGTGATGATATTCACTCCGGATGTTTTGCATTCGACATTCATTAAACAGTCGGCTGAAAATGCTGGTAGTGTCATTACTGATTACTACACCGTAGTTTCGAGTTGCTTTCGATCATTAGCCATACACTGTTTGCAAACTACAAACAACCTAGGCGGGGGCATGAAAAATCACACACTGAGTTTACCAATCCATTTATTCCACCTTGAACTTAACACAGTTTCAATACAGCTAACTGGGACAAGTAAAACAATCCTCATTTGTTTAAAGGCAATAAGTTCGATTGAAATTTTGATAAATCACCAAGTGATAACTTTGGAGAACACTTTTAAGAACACCTTGAAGTATTCATAATCGGTAGCAATTTGACCTCCAATTTGGTTCAATCGATGCTAACATCAAGAATAAACAGAAATTTTTAAATCGATCAGAAGATTGTTTCACAATTTGGTCATATATTCTGTCCAAATTTGTTATACATTCGATGTAAATTTCTCCCCCTCTATTTCACTCTAAAACCCTTCAGAAAATTCGTATGATTGACTACGAATGCATGGTCAACGCGAAGAACAAGCGTCTGGTTGCTTTTGGCAAATACGCGGGAATGGCTGGAACTATTGACATTTTACACGGTTTGGGTATACGCCTGCTCGCCATGGGTCATCGTACTCCATTTTTGGTAGGTTGTTTTTTTGATTACGAACTGAAAATTTCTTAGTGTGACACACGTTATGGTTCGCTTCACTCACCCAGTATGAATAGGTACACCAGATTCTTATTGATAAGTTTCAGGGACAATAACAAGTGGCTTATCTACCTGCCAAAATCCTAATCAGAGCGAAAGAGTTGACAGACAATACATATATATATATAATGATATCAGTGTTTTTTAAACAATCGTGGTGCTAACGCCGCAATGAAAATGATAAAAAGGAGTAATTCAGGAATAAAATAGCAAGTGCATTGCGAAGAATCAGATGGAGAAGTGTAACGGCGAAGATTTTGTTTCACCATACATACCCACGATTAAAACCGTCAAATAATTAAATTCAGACTCGGTCTGTTCACTGTTTCGCCGTTTGTCTATTATTTGAAAATCAGTCTGTAGGACTCCACGCGAACTCAAAATCAGTTTATTCATGTTCCGTTTGTTGTCACAATGCCGCATTGGTTTTCATAAAAAATTGAAATAAATTAGTATTCATCGGTACATTTCGCACAACATATGATTGCAAATCTTGAAAGGAACTGCAAATGACAGCGAGGTCGTATATGTATACATATATACATATGTACATATATATGTATTTATAAACTATGTACTGAGACTACGAAAGAAGTAAACTTCAACTATCAGTCTTTTCGTATTTAACTCACAGTTACTTGTGAGTAGTGTGTGTGTGGGATGATCGATATTGATTGATTTGACTGACTATCATTCGGACTTCACCATCACGCACAATCCCCTGTTCATCGATTCAACCATACAGTCGGAAGCACTAAACTCGAGTTTCGCTCTTATTAGAGCTCGTCAGTAGTGCATATCCACCGTCTTGTCTGGGATTAGAACTCCAGACCCATTGCATGGAGAGCGTGTGCGTTACCACTGCGCCAACCAGCTCATGCCCTGGCTGAACCAAATTGACAATTCATGTTTGTTCAGGTGTTGTCTTCAATGATAGTCAGACGGTGGATATGCACTACTGATGAGCTCTAATAAGAGCGAAACTCGAGTCTAGTGCTTCCGGCCGTATGGTTGATTCGATGAACTGAGGATTGTGCGTGAAGTTGAAGTCCGAAGGATAGTCAGTCAAATCAATCAATATCTCTCTTTTGTTTGTTCAAACTATAAAGATAATAACTTCTACAATTCCGAAGCATTACGTATAACAGATGTAAGTAAATGGATACGATTTTAACAGGCAAACATTTATCACAATGTCACACATCGTACAGTCGGTTTCATGATATGGTATTCAACAAAAATCAACTGGTCTTTCGTAATGACAGATAGGCCCTGGAATCAAGCCCTGTACTAGCAGAAATACAGCAGAATCCTCTCAAGGTAAAACAAAAAACATACCAATTGACAAATTTATAAAGAATTTTTTGCATCGTTTAGAATTATCTAAGGGCTTCAATCTGAGAAGCTCAGCACTTCGGATTTTCAATATTCAATTGAAGGTGTGAATAAATTTTAGCATGAATTGATATTATTGGTGCTATCCTGTTAGATGGTACATAAAATGAAACTTCGTGTTACCTGCACACTCTCATTGGATGGAATTCAAATCTAATCGCATTTGATGTGTTGATGATCTCTGGAAGATATACAAGATTGCAGTTTCGCATTTTTGTTTTTTCCAACGTTACCGACGAGCACTGGTAATGAGCGAGACATATGCGTTCGTTGTTTCTAACCTTTCGCACCACATTTGTGGGTGATACACGAGTCTGTAGTATCTGTACTTGAATTGGTCGAGAATTGGTCGAAAGAAAGCTTTGGATAAATGAAATTTTCAATTTGATCAATGTAATTCATACATTCTTGACACGTGGTCGGGTTGGTTAATTTTGTAATATATCGTTAAGGCGTATTAATTTTAAAGAGTGTAGCGCGGTTTCTCAAGGGTGGAGGCTGCATGTCCGTGAATTCCGGCAAGAGGCGTTCAGTTAAACAGAATGAACGAATAAACTTCACCCAGATGCTTCCGAATAACAGCGTGCATCCGTTCGGACGAACTATTAGCATTCCCCTGGGTCTCGTGACAACTTAGTTACCTCGCCTTGGTTTCACCACATCACGTGTCAACCGTCACATATTCAGACCGCATACGGATCATTTAGTTATAGGTAACAGGTGTTGTTCGTGCAGTATCTCCTTCATTTATCAGTAAGGCGAATGCGAATAACTGGAATCGCTTTGCATAACCAAGAGTTTAGTGTTCTATCATTGGTTGGCATTTAATTGTCAATTAGCATGGATACCGGCGATGAACGCCAGTGATCCGGTTGAGAAACCCAGGTAGAAAAGGAGTCCTCCTGGGAATTGGATGAAGAAATAGCTTATCAACAGATGATTTGTACGAGACTATCAATAGTTTTTCATAGCAGCAGTGGATAGGATGAATGAGACTACTGGGCACTCAGTTGTGATCCCGTATGGCCCAAGAGTTCAAACTGTTGAGTTTGGGATTTCAACAAGCAATGCTGAATCTCATGTTATCGAGCACTGAATATATATCCATGATTCGAAACCAACTGTCTGCACAAAATCCAAGGAAGAACAATCACAAAGGGTGTCAGAGAACGCGAAAAAAGAACGCATTTCTGCTCTCGTAAGTGCTATGAAATTAAGTCATCACAAAAACCGATAAATTACGGCAATCACATTCAACAGAACAATCAGTTTCAGCTAGAAAAACCATACACTGAATTGTTGTCTTGGTGTTTTGCCAACAACTTATTACCGCTATCACGAAATCTAAGGAACGTAAACATGAGGAACTCGTTTAATAACAACAATTCTAGAATTCATAAATCAGATATTTCATGGCAGTTTAACAAAAGGCCTATATTTTTTGTACAGAATGTTTTTATTCACTATTTTGTACATATCGGTGTTTGTGAGAAAACACAAAGTAGCGAACAAGATCATTTGTGGTGATTCTTCTACAGGTTAATACATCACAATTTATATCAAACTGTTTGGCAAGGGCGGGGGAAAGATCAATACAAGTCGGACAATATCGGAGTTTGTTCACCGCTCCGTATTCTCAACATTTATGAAACTCTCTTCCGATATTCTCTTCCTTCTATCTGTACACATTGCGTTTCGAAACTGTTTCTCAGCGCATCGGTATGGCTCACAGCTTCCAGGACTCTCAACAAGCGCAACAAGCCATTCGCTTAGCCGGCTATGAGATTGCTCTTGGTCGAATGCCAGACTCTCTCGGTCCGCTCACTTTTGTAATCAACGGTGATGGAAATGTATCTCAGGGTGCGCAAATCATGCTGGACTGTCTACCGGTGGAATATGTAGAAGCTTCACAACTGAAGGAGGTGGCCGAACATGGAAGTATGTCGGCATTTATTTACATTAGAAAATTAAAATTGTATTATTGAATGAACTCATTCCATTTCAGAACTGCCAGGCAGTACGTATGGCTTTTTATGGTTTCACACCTTTAGAATTTGTTATTTTTGTATATGTTGCAAACATTCAATTCGTCAAAGAATGATTTTTTTGTTTGAGCAGGAGCACTACATCAGTATTTTGTCCTTTTCCTTCCTTTCACTAACTTATCAGCATTGTTTACTACTTTTAAATCCAAAGATTTGAACTTCGGATGGGGAGCTGAAACCCTTAATTTTAATTTACAGAGTAAACAATCATCACCTTGGGTGTATACGCACATAAAATTGTCTGTGAGTGTTTGTCTCGATCGTATCAAGTTACCGTTGATGCATTTCCTTCGCTCGTGTGTGAGTCACATTGAGATAAGTGAGTAGGATTTCACAAATTTAATAAGTGACTCATTAGACCAATAAATGACCAGGTGATTTTACTGGATGCACGTGGTATAAAAATAGCGTTGTACAGATGAAATGCAAACTTTACCACGTGTTTTTTAAACGGCGCACGTGTGGATTTAGCTGGGAATGATAGATCATCGGATTGCATTGTACTGTATGCCTGTTTCTTGATAAGGAGAAACCTAGCAAAAATGATCCATGTAGTTTCTGCGTAGGACAGCTAACTGACATTGATTTGAAAAATTATTAGCAAATATACTATTTTCACTTCAGGACTATCGATGTAACAAACCATTTTGAGGAAAGTTCTGGAGTTCCTTCTTCCCGAATAGGAGGATTGGTCTCTTTTTGACGCCAATTTTTATTCGCTGCGAACATGAGAGAAACGATAATAACGAATAAGTGAAATGGTTTTTGAGTTCAAAAACTTTATAGCCAATAGAATCGGTATACCACAACTCAAGAAAACAAACACAGGTGAGAGTTGTGCTCACATGTGAGAGAGACAGTGCGGACTGTGAATTGTCCTGATGATTGTCTGGAAAATTCCACTCAGATTAGTTCAAAACCCCTCACACACAACCACCGGACTCATCACGTCTGTCCTTATTTCAGCTAAATTTGCCAAAGTCATGTCTTAATTCAGTAATTAGGTCACGATGAGAGCGTTACGGCAAAAGTCAGTGACAATGCGCTCTCTACTGTTTGTGCTTGACTCGTAACCAATGCCATAATAAACACTATCTAGCGACCCTGTGGTTTAATCGTGAGGAACAGTTGCTCAATTGAAAAGTCTGGTACAATCCGTGACAAATCTCGGTTTTTGGATACTGTTCAACCTTACAAACTATGTAATCAGACCTGCAGGTAAATTATACATGCTTTTAATTTTGTTGAGTGTCAAAGAGAATGCGTTATGACGCTTCAGATTTATCTTCGTAACAAGACTTTGATTTCTCTCTTTTTAACAAGTGAATTATATATATATATATCTTGTTGGAATTCGCATTTATTGTTACATGTTTTATCCCTTCAGCTCGGTCTTGGTTGGAGATCATATGCAATTGGTGGGTACAGAGGATAGAATTCTAAGGAAAACCTGTCGTGGCAATCAGTTTGCATGCTACCTGGTGGGTGCCAGTTGCTTCGGTTCATTGAATGGGTGACACAGGATAGCATTTCCTTTCACGATGATAAATGCTTAAACCGAAAGCTTTCTTTTCCCCCAACGATTCGCGATTAGTGTTAAAGCTAATATATGCATTCATCTTCAGCTTAACAAATATCAACCTGAATGTCTTATCAAAAACTACAGCCAGTGAATGAAGCCCTGTTTCGGTCCAGGAGATTCTACCCCACCTAACCCTAATAAATTTGGTCTACTCCTTCGGATTGTAAACCCAGCATAAGATTACAGCTTTCTTTATACCATAATGCGAACCGTAGCCAGTATGTCTATGTCCATATGTTATAATAATTTCAATGTTGAGAATTTAAATGCTTTTCACTTAAACATTCGTTAGTAAAGACGGCAAGGTTACATAAATTTATGTAGCGAATAAGCAGATACTGCCTGCAGTTGTTAACCTATCCAAGAAAACCTTCCTTTTGTGGTTCTCTTGATATAGCAACTAATTGACTTTCATATTTTATAACCATTGTTGTCGGATCAAGTGAACCGTCTCCTTGAATACCTGCGGTCCATATTTAAAAATAAACTTATCCACTCCCTCTCGACTTCATATTGAGTTCTGAAATTTACCGTGTCTAAACCGAAAGAATAATCCCATTTTATGTCACACCTCGTCACCTCGTCTCGTGGAGTGTTGAGTTGTTCATCAGTAATAAAAAGAAACCTTAATCCGGAGTTCAATCCTCGAGCAGTGTTTAGGTGCTCATGTTAGGTAAGCCTTTAATTCCGTACAAAATACATCGTTTCTTTTCGGATATTACTAGTCATGCTCCTATATATGACGCAGTGGAACAATGCTCCGGGGTAATTTGTCGTGCATAGAGGGGTGAAGCGTGAACTGAAAAGCTAGGAAGTACTGTACGGATATTTCCACCTACACCTTTTCCCATCAAGCTTTGACAAAAACCCGCAATCCTTTAGCCTTGACCCGTAATCCTTCAGTTAAAACCTGAAATGCTTTAGCCAAAACCCGTAGTCCTTTAGCCTCAAAGCACAAAATTTAGCCACGACGCAGTAGGCGAGTCAGATCAAAAAGTATCGGAATATTCTCAAGTCAACGAATGTTGAAAAAAACTATTTTCTATAAATGTTGATACTGCAAAGCTTGGTTAAGAAATGAGAAGGTGTGAGGGTTGCATGCTGCGACACATGTGGATTGGAGAAGGTTTAAACGATGTGCTCTTATCGTCAAATCATTTGACACATCTCGTACAGCTTCAGTGTTTCTGTATAACATGCAATACTCCTAGGAGTAAAAATCTCAAGTGCAACTCAAACAGTATATTGTTTTGCATACGTGCTGAAGACAATAAAGCAACAGATCAAGGCAATTGAAGCATTGAACCAGCTTTTCTGGGCACACAGGTTTGGTCATAGTAAACGAATGGTTATCGTCTCGGCCATGGCTAATTTCCAAACTATGGGCGCCTTAGATCGATTGAGTCGGATGCGATAAACAACAATGAAAGTTTTCTTCGGGTCAATCTTGTGTCCGATGTATATTGAATTGTATTGTATTGAAGCTTTAGAGAGTTATCTATAAACTTTCAAACAAGAAGAGATCACCATCACAATGCTGGAAAAGGGGGCAAAAGTGGGACATCATACGTGAAAAAATGTGACTTAACTAATATATGCATTAGAAAGGTCAGAAGGAGCAATCCGTGTAATTCAGTGTTCGGGCATGAAAGCGTACCGAAGAGTTTCTGTGCACTATCCGAGTGAGTTTGTGTTTGGAACGAGTGAATGGGTGGGATTTGCATGCACACACTTCAAGGATGAGTGCACTTAGTTAGAATATTATCACAAAACTTGAAGCACGCATCAATATGAGCATTGCACATATTGTCAATCAGAACAGATAACGGAACTTGGGAAACACGACTTATCGTTGAGAGGCCGTGCCTCAGTAGCTTAACATAGGCCATTAGCAAACCAAGGAAAATCACAATAAAGCAGTAAAGGGTGTAAAGAGAACACATTACTGAACAAAAGCTCCTATCATCAACAAATCAGAACAGAACTGGAGCAGTCATCTTATCCGAAAGGACCGAACTTTCAGCTTGCGACTAAAGACCAGCGAAGATTATTATCAAGTGTGACACCTGAGAACTTCACATGGCTGACCCTGCTCATCGGTTTGCCGTAAATCTGTACACTGTCGGAGGGAGACGGGGAACGATTTAAAGTCAAAATGTATTCAAGGCATTTTTCGGAATCAAGATTAAGACCGGATAAAGTGTTCCGACGGAGACGCTTAAGAAAAGGTAATGACATTCTGCCATATTGAAGCAGAAAATTTATCACAGGACAGTACATGTCAGAAACACGTTTTACCACGTCTATTAGAAATGTATCACCGGACAAACAGGTTGTGTTTGAAAAAAAAACAATCGGCAACTACTTTGAGAGACTCCCTTAGCAAAGCAATCATCTCACTGACGGAACATGATGTATACAGGTCGAGTAAATGAAAAATGTCCAGATTGTGTGCGTAAATCTTAGGTTTGACTGGGATCAGGTTATGATCACTGATGTCTAAGGGGGAGAACTGTTTGGTATAGATGACCCACGATCACGCTTTAGACAGCCGGTTTTTCTCTGTCGCGGCGAGACAAACGCCTAACCGTACGACCTTTAACATGCGCCACAGACACACTTCAAATGAGGTCAGTTCCGGCATATCACCATTCGCTTACCATACGCTCAAGCCTGTGTGCCCAGAAAATATTGGCTCAAGCGATTCAGTTGACTTATCTTAGTGTGAAAGCCAACACAGGATATGACGTGTCCATTGATCCAAGTGGAGAAAGGTCACATCAATTAACACACTGAACGTTCTTCCATACACACACATCCACACATCCACTGCTCTCTGCCTCCGAATAATAACCTTAAGTTGAGCCAATGGCTGCTATCACATATCATATGATACATGAGAGCCGGATTAAGAATATCCGAAAACAACTGTTCGCTCACTGACTCGTTTTCTTAACGCTATCATAGGAATGTCCAAACTTTTGTAACGGTAAAAAATATTCCTTCGGTGGTATTCATCTTCTTATCAATACACCTCTCTTATTTGGTCTTCATCTGATTGCTAAAATTTAATTACTCCCTCATCGGCCCACCCGCTACTTTTGCTTTCAACAGAGAGAAATCGCATTTATGTGTCCGTAGTCACGGTCGCCGAATACATGGTACACAAGCAAAGGAAAGATTTCAATGCGGTTGAATATTTTGCCGATCCATCGCTTTATGAATCGAATTTCAGGGACACGGTAAGTACATGAGCAAAACGATAGTACAGTTTTTCCCGAAACGATATCTGGTTGTCGGTAGATTAAGCCAAAGGTCAATTCAAGCGTGGCCGGTGGAACCTGCTCATCGGAGTTCAATGTCACCCAATTCTCCCAATTGGAACAGTAGCTGTGAATGTTACTGCATTTTCTAGCAAAAGGGCTCAATGAAAAACCGTTTATGTATCCGTGACTAAACAAAATATCTATCAATATATCCAGCTGACAAAGTGATGTTTTTAAAACTTCTACGAATCGGAGCGGTCCTGACGACTTTTACCTAGGTAAACACAGAAAAGTAACACGTCTCAATGAACATGGTTGCAGATGTGGATAAAACTAGAACCAACAGAGCCATGTAGTGAGATTATATTGTATTCAGGAGGACAAAAGGAAGCCGATACTTGTGTAAACCCATCGAGTGATGGGACGTTGACATTTCAGCCATGACTTCTATCTGGTTGTTTTGATAAATTCATGTGGAGTTTCATTAGTAATCTCTCATTGCGGTTTACACCCAATCTCAAGGCCGCATACCATTCTATTGTTACGGTTTTCGATATCCCTAGTTTCCATTGCGCTTAATGCATTTTTTTCATTTTCCACTTTCGGGCGCAATCTGTCTAAGCGTTTCCTTAAAAATTTTTATTGCTGCCGAAAATCTAACCTTGTGCCGGAGAGTTATCCTCGGATGGTGTCCCCGTAATTTTGTGAGCGTTATATCACTGATTTCCAGTAACATTCGGTCATCCTCGATAAAACTCGATGGTATCAGAAACCGCTCTAATCAGTACACATTCGTGGGCATGGGTGTGATTTTTCTCCGGGAAAGTTAGTTACATCCTGGTGTTGATGTTTAGCTGTTGTTATCAAATATCGGGGATGATCCCTTGTACCGCAAAACACTTAATATGTGATGAAGGTGTGACATGAGACGATGCTGAGTTTTACCGACCAGCTTAATGTTTCCCTTCTGTCACGACTAACCATAGTTTTGGGTTTCTGGATACTTGTCATATTGTTTAGATGGTTCTTTATGACCAATTTCATCAAAAAGCAAGCAGAAGAAAACGTGGGATAAGGACAAAATGAACAAATCAAGAGTAACCAATTTGCAATAATCAATTCTATTTTTACCATCACCCGGCTCTTTTGATGGTCGTGGATGTAGGTTTCACTCCCCGGGAGTCCATTAATTCCCCACTAGTTAAATACGTTTATAGGTGATGGAAAGATTTGTGACGACCTACAAAGAGTACTGGACAGCTGTTTCATTCTGTTAGAGACTCAGCAATAGTGCATATTTTTGTGTCACAGTCAGGACTCGAACCGCGACTATCAAAAGTGTCTGATACCTGAAAACAATTGAATGAATTATTCCAAATTCAATACTCTTAATTGCTTAAGTCATTGGCACAAGGTGATGATCGTTGACCGTGCAGCCCAGGGGTAATTGTTTGAATTGTCTGTCCGAATGTTTGCAGTTCAAATCCTGCCAGAGACACAAAGTTATGCACTGCTGGCGAACCCCAAATAGGACGAAACAGATGTTCATTACTATTTGTCAGTCATCACAAATATTTCCATCGCGCATCATGAATAATGCTTTATTAAAAGTCAAGTGCAGTGTTTTAATGAAATGAAATACAATCCTTTCTGTCTCATGCAACTTCCAATTAAACATTGTTTACTAGATCTGATTATTCAGTAAAACAATCTTAATGAAATACGAATATCTTCTTCATCAAAACATCCCAAATTAATCAAAGAATTATTTAAATACTGTCTATGTTTTGCACCTTAATTTGTTTTTTCCGTTGAATAAGAGTTTACCGTATTTGAATTTTTATAGGATTGACATTAATCATAATTCATTCATTCTGTCTGGACAACTGTCACATTGGCAATTTTTGGAGACCGTATTCTGCATTGGTTTTCATCCAAATAAGCGTTTGTTATTTAACATATACTTCTACAGATCACACGATTTAAGAATCACTGGATTCTGGGCAGATGTTTCGTTCGATAATTTTGGTAGAATAATTCAGTCAAATCGTTGATTGCCGGTCTTCTTCATTCCCACTAATATAATAAAACAAGATCATTCTTTATTTCCTCTCTTATCAATGAATAAATGTTGACTTCCACTGTTCTGCACATACCTCTAAAATTTTCGCTTACTACCACTGACAATATCGAAGTTATTTTCGTCTTCCATGCAAAGGCTGAAGATCCAGATTTCATAGTTAATCCAAGCTGTCATATCTGCTTAACCATACCACTTATATTGCGTGTTCATAATCGGTCTTAGGTCTGCGAAATGGGTTTAGAGATCAAGTGTCACTCCTTAGGGGTCCGCGATAGTTCAAATTGCAGTGCCGGTGAGGGATGCTCGTTTACTACGGGTAATTGACCGCATCTCTTGTCAGCAATCAGACACACGAAGGGAGAACACAGTTGCTACCTAAGTGGCGTTTATTATTGCAACCAACATGGCGATATTAAGGTGCAAGACATTATTAACACATCACTAGGGGAAGGGAGAATCAGGGTTCACGTTGATTATGGGTTCTCTAGTGTCTCTTCTAATTCTCTTCCTTGCTGCTCTTCTATATTGACAATTTTTATATCTTTTATGCCTGGAGAGAAAAAGAAGTAGAATGTAGACAACTAGTAATGCACACAAGTTTTCTGGTTCATTTGATTTCACTGCAGTTACACCGTCAGCAAATCGAAGTTTACCCCATATTCACAGAAAACATCAATGCAAAATCACATCAGACCGAATAGGCATTAGTGCTATCCACTGTGGTCTGTAAACACCCTGGGGTTTGCATTCAAAGTTATCGCAAAATCTTTTATTCAATTATGGAATGAGCAGTTGTAAATCATAAACTGTTCACCATGTATACTCTTCTGAAAGGATCACTTTCGCACACGCCGGTTAAACCTACCGCTAACGCCATTCCCATTAACCCTCTTATACAGATTGCACCGTATACCTCTGTACTGATAAATGGGACCTACTGGGACGCCAGAGTTCCACAGATTCTAACCTGCAAAAATGTTAAATCTCTGTTGGACGTTAGACCTAACATTCCAGGAAGTCCAAACAACGAAGGTAAGTTCACTCTGGCATTGTTCTATTCGTTCAAATTCACGCTGGATATTTATGCCACATACTGAGCAGAGAACCGAGAACAAGTCGTTTTGTTGCACATCTAACAATATGCCAACAATATAAAATGCAGTAAAATTTCTTTGCGAATTATTTGATCATCTAATTTCAGATTATGATATGAAATCAAGTTAGAGTTGGGGATTCTTTCCATTTACTTTACAGACATATAGAAGTGTTGTTTTGAAACATTGCCAACGAACTTGGTGGGTTTTTGATTTTGCTACGGGATCTTATTGGAGACAGTGCACTCGGTGAAAAAAAGCTAAAGGATGACACAATACAAATGTTATCAAGAAAACAGAACTCAATGCTTCTGAAGATTTTTTCACCCCAACTGACATCTATAGGTGCACAATTATACGAAGAACTCTTTTAAGGGGTTTCGACATTCTGAGTAGCATTATTTTCAGAAATAGTGATCTTAAGTTAATCATAACCCCATTGAAAGAATCCCTCGTATATAGAGTAAATGAAACGAGAACTGAGATGCTAGGAAGCACTGTATGGATATTTCGACCTGGTTGGGTCTCATCAGCGCTGCGAGTCAATCAATCCAACTGGGGATCGAACCCGAGACCTCACAGGCAGAACACAAGCATGCTACCCACTCGACCACCATGCAGTGGATCAGACCGTTTCTCACTCTCTATTTACACGATAAACGGCATCTTTTCTATGCGAGTTTGTTGCAGGCATAGTGCCTCGCTCATCTCAGCACTAACCTCCGGGGTTATTACGGGATAGGAAGCTTTCACAACCTGCTTTAGACACGTTGAATTCCTTCTATGAAATTGAATGCAATCCTCCGTCACTCATGCTATCCTGATTCATAGAATTGGGTATTTCCTTCGTCGCATATTCATATACTCATATAGTAAGTACCTGCACTCACTGGAAATTATACTACAATCGCAAAACACTGCCTTCATTACATAAACGTATTGCGGAGTTCAGTCAGTTGCAATTCGTTTTCGAACACTGACATCTCCGATTCCGACGATTTTACGTGAGTGGAATGTTTATGTGGAAGTCATGTCCCGTTGACCGCACAGTTATCAGCATTANAATGCCACAGGTTTTCTCATAGTTGTTCGTTTTTTTCTTGAGAGCTGTGACCATATTTCATAAAAAACTCGGAATTACATTGGCAAACTGGACAAAATAAAATGTTTGCCAATTCAAACTGCAATGAAACAGATCAAGCAGCGGTCCCATTCAACCATATCTATTCTGTCTCCATCAGTACAGATGAAATCGTGCAGTGCAAACCTAATTGGCAGCTCGATGATTGGAATTGAGACGAACATTTCTCGAAAGAATTATTGCGGTGATTCTGTACGTCAGGTGTTGTGGACTAGATGCGTCTAACCTTTGTCAACTGGACACTAGGGTCAATTTTCAATATTTTTATTGCGAGTAGTATATGAATGACTGGACAAAATTTCCCATAAGGACACGACCAGTTTCGAGGTGCTTGTCGCTCTTCAGGTATACGTATCCGGTAGTCTTCTGTTGTGTTGTTAATCAGTGTAGAGAATACCATCTGCATAGAGAAGCATGACAGGATCGGGTATTTGCTCGATTCTAAGCATCGTAAACGTATGAAATTTTAACTTTCGGGAGAAGATCCATACGGAAGATCAAAAGTTAACTGACAACTTAGGAAAATTTATTCATTTATTTATTACACCATTTTGTTTAAATATTCGTTTTTTCATTTATGAATATTAGGTATTGATCAAATTTATCTTCCAATGTCGACTTTCCGTGATCATCTGCACATCAGAGCAACTACATGCACATTGAAACCACTTGTCCGCGATTTCGATTCATGTTCTATTAGTCTTACTTGACACCTGAACTAACACAAATTACTGTTGGAAGGCGTTACACAACGCGTTAATTCTCAGTGACGAAGAATAAACAACGCTACCAATGATGTTCATCAGGAAAACGGTATTAATATTATGTAATCAAAATGTACGGTTCCTGAATCAGGATAATTCAAACTGTCCGAGGTAGACACATGAAAATTAAGTAGGCAATTGATAAAAACAGTTAAATTGACATAATTTAGACATTGAATTGAGATGATTTCAATAGATTCTGTTTAAAAAAATTGAGATCGATTCTACCTAAATTCGGTTGGAATTCATTTGTCGGTTTTGATGAATTTAAATGCCTCATGATAAGGGCATGATTACGTTCTCCTTGTTTGTGCACAATTGATTTAACGTCCTCTAAAAGCACTCCAAATCAGCTTACTACGTATAAACTCGTAATGCTTTTGCGAGCCCAACTCGCCACTCTTCTAGCCCTCTTTTGATTGTAAGTCCTTTCATGATTCACGGCATCACTTAGCAAAGAAAGGCTGCAATCCGGTACACAAGTGAGATAATAAGTAATATGGGGCATTTTATTGTAAGAATAACTGCTTAAAAATATTTGCAAGCAAATCATCGGACTAGATAGAATAATGCACCTATTCACACCTGCTATGTTTTGCATTCTTTTTGCGCAAAATTACCAAATCTGAAATGCACTTCTTTTAATGAAATGGAGCAGAAATTTTGTTGAAGGCCAGTGGAAGTGCTTTCAACGGTTCGAGTTAGTTGATGCATTCCATCAGTTTATTGACCTGGAGCCAAGTTCTCACATCACGCGTGTGTTCCAAATCCGATTTCTCGCTTTGGTGATTTAGAATTAAGACAAAATAATGAACCGCTTTCAGTTAGCTCACACATCTCATGTAACTCACTTCTTTGTACAGGCTGTCCGACCCTGCCGCACAGGTTATTAGCTATTTGTGATATCTCGGCCGACCCCGGTGGATCTGTGGAATTTACGGAAGAATGTACCACAATTGATGAGCCATTCAATTTGTACAATCCCCGTACTGGAAAAACCGAATATCAGTAAGACAACCCGTTAAACATTTTGAATGAATGACGTTCATATTTTTTGGCTGGATGTATCTGTAATCGACTGTCTGTTGCAGTGACAAACAGTTTTGGATCACTTCAGGACAGATAATTACTAGAATGTCTCAATCCATGTCTTCAAGAGCACAAGTTTAATTTTTTGAAAAAGAAAATAGCTGTATTTTTCTGCCGCTAGAATATTACAGTAACCCTGTTATTCTAATCATGATGAAATACTTCTAGTCAGCTCCTCAATAGGACTCGAACACTCTCATGGACCACATTGATATCCGAATGCAATATAATTTCTACTAGATTAGCTGAGAAACCATTGGAACACGGCTGATCTTTTCAACTTTTTGCAATCACATATAAACAAATACGAGATAATGCGTAAACTGACAGATATCGCTGTTTTTCTACATCTGCTCGCGTGATTGCATGTTGTGTGTAAAGGGATGTGTTGTATCTACGCTTCGGTTCAAATTAGACCGATGAATGAAATCTTATCACAAATTCACTATACCTATTTGTTTATTGTCTCCATCTGGCTATTTCTTGCAAGCCTTTACTCACCAGTCTCCGTTAGATGATAGTAATTTGCCTCTATCCCTTCGCTTATTTAGGTGTTTCGTAAGCAAGTTTTTGCTCTTTTCGCGTTGTCCTTTGCCCAGTTCACCGTTGAACTTGTCCGAAAGGGTAGGGACGTTAAAGCCTTTTTGAGTTGGTTACTTTTGTTTTTCGAGGAGTTGTGACTTGATCTCTATTTTTGCATCACATGATCCTTAAGTTTGCCAAATTGTTTGACCAATGATAACTATACACAGGTTGAAGTAAACTATGATGATACATAAAACGAACTGGTTTGAAATAGACACACAAAATGGGCGGTTAAAATGTGAACCGGTAGAGTGAATCAATCCTATAGAAATCAAGCTACAGCCCACAAAATTGTAAACAAATTGTAAAGATAAAATAAGCTGATTATGGACATTTTCGCTTGGATCAGAGCTTTTCTTATGGTTTGAGCTTGGAGAAGCTAGTTTCTCACACACCCCTCCAGTTGTTCAAAACAGAAACCATTGTGATGAAAGGCGAGGTCGGTAAAATCTCTAATTCTGGTAAAACTGAAATCGTTCCATGCACTCGAGTTTCACTCTGATTAGAGCCAAAAGAGATGACCAACTATCCCTGAAAATGCCATCTGAATAGACATGCATTGACAGTTCTAATCAGACCAGGTACGAGCTGATTGGCACAGTGGGATGGGTAATATGCACTACTGATGAGCGAAACTCGGGTCTGGTGCTTCTCGAGTGTGTGGTTGGCTGGATGAATCGCACGTGAATATGGAAGCTGAAAGGTTTTTATCCCAGATCAAATGCTAAATTTCTGATACAACGGGCAACGTACCAGTTGATCCCCTTAGCATGTTCAAATCACAAGAAATGATTAAAAAGTGGTTAAACGACCTCCTTTTGCTTGTCGGTAAATTTTTAATTAGAACTGCAGTCACTCATTCGTATATCGGGCCGCAAACTTTGTATAGTTGTGTGAATTGTCCAACCGTATCTTCCTTGCGATTCAACTGACTACCTCTTCGGTCAATGACAATTCATTATCCAACGGGTCCGAATAATTGCTGCTATTCGGCTCCTGATCTCAGTCTCTCGTTCACACTTATCTCATTGCAGAATTCACGGAGACGGGATTTTGATGTGCTCCATTGACAATATGCCTGCGCAACTTCCCTATGAGGCCAGTGAATATTTTGGCGATACACTGCTCCCATATCTTCCAGATATGGTAGGTATCACAATCTTTCGAACTCTAATAATTTTATCGTTGTCTCACTAATTCGCAGTCCGTTTTGTCTGTTGTCAACAGAAAGTGGTATTCGTTTGATTAGAGCAAAGTAATTTTTACAAAATTCAAGGGAAACCAACATATTTGAATGTATATGCATCGCAGGAATCAGCATGAAATAGCTTCGGCGAAACCGTGGCCTATGGATTTTAGGCTACCACCAAGTAACCTTTAGGTACAATACGAATCCAAATGCATGAACTCGTTTCGAAATGATATGTGCACGGGACCGTCCAAATGAACGGAAGGATAAATTCGATTTTTCATGCATGTGCATTGTTCAAATGGTTTTGCGCCTTTCACTTTCCAGTTGATTATTGACACACAAGCGCATCTATTCAGTCGCATCAATGTTCTTGTGCATATCCAGCAATCAGAAATTTGTCCTACGGGACGGGTTTTGGGTTCGGTTTATTTATAATTGAGGTTGTTCATAACTGACGATAGCTGTGAGAGATTCACGGATGAGGTTTACAAGTGTTGCAATTCTAGCACGCATTTGTACCCGCAGTTTTCTCTTATCATTTATGTTGACTGATTTTAGGTAAATGAAAGTGTGTGTTGCATTGCACTGTAGTGAAGCTTTAACGAGTTCTATAGAAGGCTTCAGAGCACATATTGTCCACTCACTTCTTGCATGCCAAAAACCATTTCACAAGTTTTTGAATGCGTATTGAAACCACTCACTTCCTCCCTTCCATACTGAAGTTTTCTCAGTGTTTGTTTAACTGACATTATTTAGGTGTGAAACTTTCAACTGACAGTTAAACACCACAGGTACACAGGACATAAATTCAGGTTTTTATTTCAATGTTTCCTAAATCAATTTTTTTCTGTTAATCACTTGCATATGTGTTCCTCAGTGTACGAGCCACTCACAAGTATGCTAACCTTTTCTTATTCATTATATAGATCAAATCAAATGCTTTAGAACCGTTCGAGAATTACGATGCCTCACCTGAAGTGAAAAATGTGAGTTTGCACGGAGTTAATGCACAGCGTGCGCTGCGATTAAATTCAGTCAGAAATTGCTGATTCGTTTTGGGATACACTGCTCAGGTGAACAATTTTCGGGTTACGTTGCTTCACCTAATGGAATTTTTAATTATCCCAATTGCACGTTGTATTAAAAACACACAGTAGAGAACAAGCTCGTTTGCGATAATTCTTCTAATACAACACAATTTATATCAAATTGTTTAGAAAGGGAGTGGGGGAAGAAATCATGACAAGCTGGAGAAGAGACTATCAACATTCCAATTACATGACATGCGTATTTGTTTGAGTCATTAGGGGCAGGCGGGGGATGACTTTGCCTGGTATGTTGCCCATAGAAGAACTAGTGTTATTACAAATTGTTTTAGGTAGCATAGCGGGGATTCCGACCCCGTCCGCAGTGGCCAGAATGTGAGTCCCAGTCCTATTATATTGATGGATGCGAACTAATTGGAGCAGTCGAAACGCCTTGGCCTCATTAACCAAATGGTTTGATTCAACTAGGTGTGAAACGATCGAACTGTTGATAGTTTCAATCATTCTACCATTCAACCAGGCCGAGTGGTGCCCACGGTCTCGTTCAGACAAACGTCTGCTATTGTGGCCAATACACCTTGTCCAACAGACACAGGTAGATAAGTTTACACAGAAATAGACTACAGAAGCAGGCAGATTATTCCTGAATTATAAGCACCAAATTGGCTTGAAGATGCACACAATGTGAAGTTTTGCTGCGGTGAATACTTTTTCTACAAATGTACTGCGAATGCGTGTCACCACCTCGGCAATTGTGTAGCCCTTAAAAGGTAGTGGTATGTAAACCATTTTCTTCTCAGCATTGGTGATCCTATTTGGTAACCCGTTACGCCTCAAAATGTTGTCCCCTCAAATAGCCCTGAGTATTCATTGAGACAGAACCGAGGTTTATTCGAGACGTTTTCCTTCAAGACCGATTCTGGCATCTTGATTGTTTCTTTTCCCACTTTCTTATGAATTGTCCCTCTACTAAATAGTTTCACATAAATTGTGATGTGCTAAACTGTAGAAAAATCACCGCAAACGAGCTTGTTTGCGACTGTTTTTTTCTTATAGTAGATTTTCATATCATATTTTGATAGTGCACCTGGTAAGATTACAAACTTCAGATCACCCATGCCCGTTAGGGCTAGGGTAAGAATTTCATCACCCACCCCAACTTTTGTGGTCAGTCCGTTAGCAGTTCTCTGGCTCACTATCACATCTGTATTACTGTAGTCTTGCGCAGTTTCCTACTCCATGTTCCAGGGCTTGAGTTGTCACTTCCAGTAGGTCACTAGCGGAAGCTTGTCATTACGGACTTTACCTCGTCTACTGTTCATCATCCCTAAGTTCTGAGTGAAAAATTGATGCAAACTTTACACATTGTGAAGTTAACGCAACGAACAATCTTAATTTTTACTAGCGAAAAGATTTTATCGACCATCAACTCGAGGGTTTCAGTGTTGTTGTTTGGTGACGAAGATTTATCATTTTATTTTCGGTAGGTACATGGTAGACTTTTTGAACTTCTGCGGCTTCCGTTAAGCAGCCATATGGAGACTGTCACTTTGGCTGATGATAAATCATCTATCTATTAAAACGTTATGCTGGGTGAACAACAGAACGCCAAGCTGCTTGGCCTAAGCCAAGGTGATTCCTTGGCTAAGGGGCATAATCTGTTCTACAAAACGCACTCCAGCCTCGGTTTCTTCTCATAAGTGAACGGGGACCAATGGAGAGCGAAAATTCGATTCAGCTTTTTCGGTATAGCAGACACAGAAAACAAGCATGTGGAATTTGACTATATCCAATTTCCGTCTAACCTAATTACCATACGCGCCTGTGCTTGATTTCAAAAGTGCAAAATTGATTGAAACCTCTACCTCCTCTTGACAATTCACCAATGAGATTGCCTTAATAAGTTCATTTTTGTGCCCGAAGCTCATTCAGCACTTTCCTCTCATTGAATCTACATCACAAGTGCAAGTGAAAAGACTGTCTAAAACAAGCTATCGGCCATAGTCGGTAATCTGTGCATACCGAAAATCGTCTAATCACGAAACGGCTTTACCTATGGTCCTCACATTTT